TTGTTTCTTATCAGTTACGTGAAATCATATCTCATGATAACATTTAACATTGTAAGCATCGTCAAGAAATCACTGAATCTTAAGTTCTTTAACCACGATGTGGCGACGATTCCATCAAATCTATCGGTAGTTGGGGGTGGGGGTTAAAAGTCTGTGGTAAATAAATTACATTACAATTATATAAAATGTAGTTTAAATCATAATAATTTGTTTTGTTTAAAGAAGCCCAGCATGTTTCAAAGTACCTGACATATTATTGAATGTAAGAGAACAATGCTGGCACTTATAGAATCAGATGTGATAATAAGTTTAAGAGAAATAATTTACGTAAAACAGGCGGGATAATGTAAACAAAACATAGTAGAAACATAAATTGTAACATGTTTCCCTTGTCAGTGTATGTAACATATACCATTCCCCTTTGTCCGATACAGATTTATAACAAATGTATTTCAATAAACATTATTTCAACCATAGTGAGGTCTTCAACAAAATAAATAAACATTTAGAGCCAATATCATATTTTTGTGATTTGCCTATGGCACCAGTATAGAATGACATAAGCATAGAAGTAGGCAAGCTTCCGTACCCTTGGTGCTGGTATTGGTAGTTTACCCTCAGGATCACGGCAGTAAGCAATATTGAATTTATCAGAGCAGTGTTCAAGCACCGCATCGTTCCTGGGCAGACTTTCAAACAGTTTACCAGTACTTGTTGCCTACTCTTTCGCAAGGAATTGATAACTTCTGTACATGCCAGAGCAGGGGTACAGTGACAATGACCGTAGAAAGGGTGTTATGACCAATTACAAAGAAATTGACCTGCACCGTCCTGAACACTTGAGCTAACCGGACCGCCCATACCCGTGTAGTCATCAACAGAGTTTTATTATGTTAACTGCCATGGTCATTTTAGTATTTTGCCATCGAAATCCTTTAGATATTGAATAAACTTTTCCATCTCCAAAGCAAACATGTCATCGTATGGACAATTCCATTACACGAGGGTAGCGTGGTAGTGAGTTCTCGTGCAATAAAAGCAAGCCTGTTTCCCTGAATATTTATCAAATTAGCTGGTGACATGTGTCGGAGACTTATGCCAACAGTTTCAGCTCGATTACATATTAAAGTGATAAATATTACGTAAGATATCGGCATAATGCAGACATTTATACACGTGGTAGATCTCAAGAAAATTCTGCAAGTGTCTGGACTATCATGAAGGAACGCTAGAAATTATAAGAAATAAGATAAATGGTTAATTAATGCAGCTAGCTATCTCGTGGGATGATCTGTCGTTCAATAAATTACAGAATTTCTGACGAAATAAAGATAAAAGAAAATTAGTCAATTCTAAGATAACAACTTCAAATTACGGTAGCTGGGTCAAGAAATTTGCCGACGGTAAGCGGAGTTGTAATGTGTAACTATAACAAATGGTTAACTATCTAAATTCGAAAAGAAAGTTTTATTACAAGAATTTCTCCCATTACTTTCCTGTGATATTGATACTAGTTTTATCTCATTTTTCAGAATTCTATAGATAGTAAATTGTCTAGAGAAAACTTCTGTTGAAGTATACCTAAAAAAATGGTATTTTACTTCCTATTATCTTATAAACTGAATTCCTTCAATGATATTTATATGACAAGAAATAAAACACAAATGTATTTTGTATAAAGAAATGTTACTTTTATGCATAAAAATGTCTGTGAGAAACTTTAGATATATCGCCAAACTTTTATTTTTTGTTTGTTTGGTTCAAATGTTTGTTTTAACAATAGCCGTAGTCATGCCAAAAACGAGTAACCCGTGTATATATTACAGTTCCCGTGCCAGTTCTTCAGGCACGTGCCAACTATGATCACGATTGCCTCGAGGAGAGAGAAACGGCAATAAACAAGTTCCATGTCATGGATCGAACTTGCGAATACATACCTGGAACTCAGAATTGGTACAATTATTCGGTATAAAAAAAACTCTCTTGGAAAAAACTATTATGTTGACATATTATATTTATATGAAATCTGTTAAAAGATTATCTGTAACTTACCTACAACATCGAAATATTAATTTAATTTGATAATACTGTACGCAACTTCTGCTATGAAAAAAGTTTAAAACAAAACACATATTGTGTGTTTTGTATATGTGTGTGTGTGCCGATTTTGACATGTCTGGTTTAGTCGATAACTTATCTTTTCTGTTCAAGGTTCTGTTTTTTTAATTATCAAAGAAAAAATTAGTGGGTGGGGTTCCTTGAAAACTGATACGAGAGACAGATGATAAGTATGTAGTAAACTATTATATAAATAGATTTCCAGTAGCTTGCGTGATACCTCCTTACATCAAACATATTTACAGTATCAGATACTTAGAAGTACTTCAACATGACAATAGCAAACATTACAGTCAACCCTGTATTTGAAGACCGCTTGAACTTGCAAAATTGACTCATCTTTCGGCGATAACTTCCGTCAAATTGAGACAGTCGAATGTTGTAATTAACGTATATTATTCAGATCAGTAGTAAAGCATGGATTTTTGACACTCGAAAGGGCGGACATTAAACTTTCGTTTAACTGTACTTTAAATAGCACTTCCGTTTAGGATAATGATTAACTAAGCTATTATTGGTCGTTTTTTTTTTATCTAAGTACTTAAATAAATAAACCAACGCAGACGAAATTTTATCTTCCTGTTTGGACCTCATGCGAAATGCAGACGTGCACGATTTCCTTTCATCGTATACAATTAATCGGCAGCAGAAATCGAAATTTATATACATGTTTGAAAAAAAATGACCTATCGTGGGTTGGAAAAAAATGAATAAAGATACATTAGCGTTTTAATTCAGATAATGCCGTTTGAAAAAATCACTTAATCGTCTTATTCCTTAAGGCTTTTCACTTCACCTACAGTCATAAGTTACGTTTGCCATTTTACTTTACCTACACAAGCGTACCTAACGTACGAGTGTCATTTTACTTTACCAACACAATCATTACTAAAATATGTATATCTTTTCAATTAACCAACTCAAGCATACCTTAAATATGTATGTCATTTCACTTTTCCCACACAATCAAAGCTAAAGTACGTAAGTACGTATGTCATATCAATACAATACAAATAACTCTATTGCGAATATCACTTAACCTACACAATCATAACTAAAGTACGTATATTTTTTCACTATGCCTACACAATCATACCTAAAGTTCGTTCATGTATATCACTGCACTGTATCTACACAAGCATGACTGAAACGTAATGTCATTCAGTCTGTCAACACAGTCATACCTAAAGTACGCATGAAATTTCCCTTTAACAACTCAACCAGTCCAACACGACTTTTTTGTGCCATTTATACATATTCATAATTAACATAAAACTATGCCAAAAGTACCAATATCATTTTGTATGACATTATACATTAGTTAACCGTATTCATACAATCATTTGATTGGGCGGGAAAATAACGTTTGTTAAATGTCAACTAATTCTGCAAATATACAAATATAGTTATTGCCATTCAAACAAGCCAGTGTGTAATATAAAAACTCACTAGTTAATGTAAATGCTATCATGTATATATTAACATTTCATTGCCAGGGAATACATGCGTTTTCTGTTTGTAATAATATGCTAATTTTCAGCAGTAACTTTATAAGCTTATAATAAATTCAAAGTGCTAAGCAATATTTAATAATCAGTCAGTCACTCCCAGTAAAATTGTTCGGGACAAAATATATATTGGGACCCGTACAGGTCCAATATTCAGTTATTAACTTACAGCAATCTTTAATGTTTTGTATACCTACATATGTTGCAGCTTAATAAACATGTTTATTCTATATCAAATATTAACATTTAATCCCTGCTTTCATATTGGCCACGTTTCCATCCAATATTTTTTTCCATATTGGACGCTGTAGCATCCAATATAGTTAGCCTGTATTGGACAATTGAGTGCGTTTGACCTTTTCCATGTAACGCCAATGTAAAAGCCCTTCACGAAAAAATAGCCGAGTCTTGCAAAAAATGAACCTGTTTGTCAAACAATTATAATATTACGCAACATTTTATACGTTTCTTCGGCGAGAAATCCTATAAGATTTGTCCAACTGCTCGTCCAATATGGTTTCTCCAGCTGTGTACTCGTTTAAATATAAATGTATTACCGTATTTGTACAGTTCAATGTTAGATAACTTATAAATATTGAGACCATCCAGTTTTGTACTAATAAAAATGCTTCTTGTGATGACGTCATCTTCCTATAACATCAATTTATCAAGACTAATGTGAGCACCCTTCATGAAGAACGCGACTATTTTTACAATGCATTATTTAAACAATTGATTATTTACCTAAATACTACTTTTGTTCGTCTTATATCATTAACGATATTTGTTTATATTAAAAACGTCAAAAACATCGTTATGAAGTGACAGGTCAATAAACACAAATAAAGATGACCATATCCGGGTACTTAACATATCCTACTGTTAACTGAAGGGCAAAGTCCTTAAAGCCAATGTTTGATTGGCCAAATAGATATCAAGCTTTTTTTGGTATTGCATTATTTTGAGGCAAACAACACGCCAACATTCACTCCTTTCAGTAGGTCTAGAGCAAATGATTTTTTACAAAGCGCGCGCTTATAATTCACTCCCCCGCCCTAAAACCCCAATTTCCCATTTATTTAGCGTATAATCCATAATTGTTTTCCTTTATTCTATAATTAAAACAATATGTCTTGAATTTATGAAAGCTCATTAGATTAACCACAAAATGAACTCTTACGTATAAACTATTCCGTGCATTATTAAACAAAAGGGATTTGAAAATGTAACAATAAAAACTCTATAATTCTAAATAAAGATATGGTCTTCATACTTTTTCGTTTCGTTAAAGTCACTTTATTATTATATAAAAGTAAATCTCGCCAGAAGATAAATAAATAAAAAACAAAACAACATTTTTAAGTTAGAACCTACCTTTAGCCAGCATTGCTGGTTTCATAAAATAAATTAGAAAAACTCCAACTTTCACTAACAGCATATTTAATTCCATCTTTTTTTATCTCACTTGCACGAAGATTTTTTTTTTCAAAATAATTTTTCCCAGATTCTTTTAGCTCCTTGTCACGCCCATGCTAATGTTTATATTAAAAACAAAACATATGGCGGTGAAAAAGTTTACGCAATTATTATAATATATTCCTCCGCTACTCGATGAAGTAAAAGACACAAATCTGCCTGCAGACACACTTGTAGTTCCACTCTCACAGAAATATTCGTAGCCGGGAGAAAATATCCAGCCGGGGTTCCTTGCGATGACAGTAAGAAAAATAATCCAAACTGCTTCAAATTATCACCAAATCAGATCTTTAATTTCTCCTGAAATTTATACAGTCATCTCTGCAGGAAAAAAATTGTAGCAGAAGTAAAATAAACATTTGAGCCGCGTCACGACAAATCCACATAGTGCGTTTGCGACCAGCATGGATCCAGACCAGCCTGCGCACCCGCGCAGTCTGATCAGAATCCATGCTGTTCGCTTACCAACCCTTTTACAAGTAGAGAAAATAATAGCGAACAGCATGGATCCTGATCAGCCTGCGCGGATGCGCAGGCTGGTCTGGATCCATGCTGGTCGCAAACGCACTATGTTGGTTTTGTCGTGACGCGGCTCATTTATCAAGTAAGATATCCCATCCAGGAAAAAAAATGTTGGCTATTCGTGAAGTATAAAATAATGTGTAGGGTAATACTATATGAAATATAAGTAACGTTATTTCGAACAATTCCCGTAAACGGACTAAGTAGGCAAATAAATATAGTAACCACTGAACTTTTTAAAAACTTTTTCCTCGTCGCTAGTTAGAATAACTACAAAATGTCAAACTACTTGTACACTGAACTCTCGTTTTAAAATATCCTCTTGTAGCCAGAAAAAAAAGTTATGAATCGATGTACTTTGACTAACTGAAACTGTATTGGTTTATAATAGTTTCTATTACATCAATCTACTATGTGTATAGTCCGCTAAAATCGGAGGTTATTAACACGTTCTACTTAAGCTCTTGTTATCAAAGCACGTGTCATTATTCTTACTAATCTTATTATCTTATCATTATCATCTTTTATCCTTTCTTCGTTAAATATCTAAAAACCATACAACATTTTAGGGAAAATATGTACTGAGTTAATAGCGAACATTGCAAACTAGACCTAGTAAAATAATTAATCGTTCTAAAAATAAAATAATGATGACTATATATATACACCGATAATCATAATATTCATCTTTTTATTTTAACAATTCACAGACCCCGATATTTATCGTCTTCAACTCTCTGAATTAATGACCTTGGTCTCAATATAATCAGCGTGGTTCCCGCTGAAAAATAACTGAATATAACCTATTGATGTATGATCTAGAATGCTCCCAGTGGACGTTTCCAAGTCAAACCTGGTACTTCGATTTGGAAGGATAGATATCTAGTATATAATGTTCACGTGCACGCTGTGTGGAATACACGATACACGAGCTATACTTTCCGAGTCGGAATGTTTAATATATTAAACACATTTTGTAATAATACATGTCTTAAAGTAAAGGCATTTTGCAAAACTTGATAAAAATCTATTTTTTTAGCTTATAGTTAACTAATGACGATTATGTTTAAACAAAGCAACAAACAGCTGCGTATCTGTTTGAAAAAAAATGCTTTCTTTTCAGCATTTAAGTAAATCCTAAATTAATACATATGTATAAGATTATTACTATAAATAGAAATCTCTTTTTTTCTATCATGGATGTATCGTTTAAGCGTTAGATTTATTTTTCGATTCATCAAATATTTATTTTAAAACCGGACAAACATTTTATAAGATATATGTATATATTATTTCCTTATCAATAGGGATCACAGTTCAAAAGGCCAACCGAAAGTGGACTCCTTTCCGAGTGTGCTAGAGATATGAAAGTACTATCTAATGTTAACACGGAAGTTCTTCATCATCATCTTACAACAATACATAAGGGAACGGTTGTCCTCGAGTGTTCTTGTAACAGTCAATTTTGACGACGTTGAAAATTGAGCCCATTACTCTTTTTTGAAACGGATGTTTTTTTATCAACATACAACGTTTTCAACGTGGAATATTAACTGTTTTCCCAATATATTGATGGTCTACCCAAATGTTACATGTCGATCCCTATAGAAAACTGATCAACTATAGGCATGTAGCTTTGGAAATCAATCCCAATAATCCTGCACAATATGCCCATGGTCAAACTGATGCAATTCAAGGACGCCAGGAGCTAAAAGAAAACACTTCGTATTATTTGTACTGGTTTTGCAGTATACAGTAGAGAATGTTCATATAATATTACATGCAATATGCATACTTATGTTTTCCCGTAATTAAAGGGATACGCCTGCTAGTGCTAAAATAAAACTATTAAACTGCCTTCTTCTGACTTCTTATACTTTGCATGTATAATTTGTAAATGGCCAAAGGCAATTGTTTTTGCTGATTTTGCCAATAAAGTTGAAATTATTTAAAAGATATTACACTAGTCAGATAAAAAATTGAACACCATCTACCCTTCTTCGTGTGCTTCACAACAATCTGATCCATTATGTACAGCCAGATTATACATGTATTTCAATCACTTAAAAGTAGGAAATCATTTTGTTACACTTTCAACTTAGATTAACATTACCTTCCCTAACTAGCCACACTTGTCTGTTTGTACTCAGATTCGTCCTTTTGAACGCATTTTTGTGGAGCCTGTGAGAGTTTATGATTGTAAGTACTCAGTGTCTATACTTCAAACACTGAATTAAAATTACCGTTAAAATTACCCCATTTGAATATGTATATTAAAAAACAACTTATTATGTTTCATCAAAATCTATTTGGAATATTGGCGGTCAATTCTCAACGTCGGAAATGAATAGATTAAGGTCGGTTAATTTTCAACGGGGTTAAAATTTGATTTTATTTAGGAAAATATAATAGTAAGGGAAGACAAATTTGTATAACTTTGCTGCACAAGAAATTCTGCTTTCAAACTTACACAACAATAATATTCGTTGCAGACGACAATCATCTATTAGTTTGACTCATATTAAAAACCGTTTTCGAAGCGGGGCGTTACCCTAGATTATACTGTTGTATTTAAGTAGCAACACACATTTTGAAAGGCGATTTTAACCATAATTTTTAGCTGTTAGAGCAAAATTGCTTATTGCTTATCTAAAAGAAACTGTCTAAAACATTTAATAAAATCAAATCAAAATGTAATTGAAATTACGACACCAAAAAAGGAAATAGAGGCTATTTGCTAGTTTTTGTGTAATTTTTTCATCGAGCGAGCTTAAGACAGTATTCACACGAGTGGCATAAACTAAAACAGTTTATTTGTTTATTGAATATAAAAAAGCGCAATATAAGCAGCGTCACATTAGTAAAAGACGTAACAGTTTTATTATAACTGGAAAAGACAATTCTTGCAACATTTTACTATTCTGAACCAATAAAGTTTCTTCCCCTTCTTGCATTTACCAGAATCGTTTTCTTTTTCATGCAAATGTCATCCAGAATTCCATGATTTAAGTGTATACAAGTTACAAACAGTGGTACATGTTATGACAGAGATTTATATTACAGTTATGTATTTCCATGAGCTTTGAATTTGGAAACAATCCATTCAACATTGCGCTGACAACCTCATGTGTAAGCTGACCTGTCTTCATACTAGCGGCAAATGCTTATCACTTTTAAAGAATTAAGAGTGTACTTTGAAGGCATTTAATCTATTTATTTTGAAACACTGTTTGAATGCAAACTTTTAAGCTCAACACTAGAGCTTCAACTGTTACTTATGGAGATCTATTTATAATACAATCAGTTTATTATAATTAACATACGTATATTTCCCTTGGCACTGGTGTCGGTAGTTTTTTTTGGCTGGGTTTTACGTCGCACCAATTCAATTTCAATCAAATATTTTATTAAGTATATAACCACTGTTATTGTCATATGGCGACTTCCCAGCTTTACCAGTTTCTTGCTGGAGGAAGACCTTAAGTGCATTCTTTTCAGGCACGAACGGACGAAGTTAGTCAACGACCTTAAGCACTCGGTCACAGGCGCCCCGAGTAAATTGTGTTATCTAGAATCACCCGAGAATTTATTGGCGTCCGCGCCGAAGCGCGGCGCCCTTATGGAATGAAATCAGATTTTGTGAAAGGGCGACAGCAACTTCTCGAGCCTTGTAGTCGGTCATAATAAAAGCCGATCATTCCGATCGGTATGAGGGTGCTTGATTATTAATTAAGAATGAAATGTCGCGATATGTTACAATGAATAGCGAACTGGAGAATTTCGCAATGCAAACATTTTCAAATGAAATAACCTTTTCCGTCAATAAATCGCGCTCTTCGGGGTTTTTTATTTATCATTTTGTAGTACACAGTGGGTTATCATGGTATGTTATTGTTGTACATGTACACCTAAATATTCCAAAAATCTATTTATAGATATATCTATTTATCACTCCTATCGGTAATTACCGGTCTCTCCCGGTCTATTTTGACCGGGATTTACTAGTGACCGGAGAATAGTACCACACGTTTATTATCCGGTCTCTCCCGGTTTTGGAGTAGATTTGATATCGTTACAATTAGAAAAAAAACAACAACAATAGCATGTTTCATTTTATCTATATGAGATAAAAACAATAAATATGTACACGGATTTATATGTAATATAAATCCGTGATATGTACAATAATTGAGAAAAAGGTACATTTTTATGGTATTAAAATGACATTATCAACTTTGAAACATTTTATTTAGTTTGTTATCCGTGTTTAGTAAAGATGCCGAGGAATTACTCAAAGTTACAAATTAGATTTTATGAATTATTCAATTGATTGATAATTTAAAAAATGATAAAGAAAAATACAAATGTACATGTACATGGTTTAAAAATAAACAATATTATATATTAAAAGATAAACCATAATTTACTGACATTTTTCAGTTAAGCTTTGACTTATAATCGTCGGTCAATATGACAATTGAATTCTTAAAATTTATTTTACAATTTTAATAAAAAAAGAGTAGTAAAAACTTGGTATTAAAATAGCACATAAAACACAAAAAAGAAAAGAAAACATTATTCATAAAATTTGTATTTTTTTTTATTAAAATTAATAGATATTACAATTATTGTATAATAAACAATTATGCTCAACATGATCAACATGGTAATATAACCAGTGTCATATTTTTACTAACTTAAAGTGTGAACAGATACCTTAAGAGGGGGTCTTCGCTAATAGCGATAACATAATAAGGGACAATTACAAAGGTGTGGTACGTGTTGATCATGCGTTACACATATGGATTATAAATGATTGCATACATGTATATCCGTTGCTATTAATAACCACGATCATAAAGAAATAACAAGTAATATTCTAATATCTAGCATGCCAATCAAAGTTCATAATGAACAATGT